CTCTATTTACTCCTACTGAAAGAATCTAATAGGAACCCCTTATCAAAGGAGAAAAGTGATTGGCAAAGTTCCAGCCCCACCTCAAAGAACAGTACAAAAGGGTCAGTTTGAAGCCGAGATCATTATTTTAATAACCAGAATATTCCTTAATACAAGAATATTTAATTTATATTTTGCTTGGGTAATTTTCCTATCAAATTTTAAGCATTATTTTAAATACTTAATATATTTGACATTAATTTTGTTAAATGTTTTGAAATTACATTATAGTTAAAAATTTTCCCACAGTTAGCTTTTGTACCATCACTAGTCATTCAATAATTCTCTCTCACTTTATACAATTCTTTTTTACACAGTAAATTCATATGAAGGGAGAGAAACAGGGGGTGGGTAGAGATACACAGATGTTTGATTTAATTTTTTTTAATTCCTTGTTTACTGATTTACCCAAACCTTTTGTTCTTTCAATATTTCTCTCACTAAATGACACCACTCCCATCAGAAACCTGGGTATCATTTTTGGGGCGCCTAGGTAGCTCAGTTGGTTGAGCAGCCAACTTCTGCTCAGGTCATGACCTCACAGCTCCAAGGCTCATGTGTTTGAGCCCCACGTTGGGCTCTGTGCTGACAGCTCAGAGCCTGAAGCCTGCTTCAGATTCTGTATCTCCCTCTCTCTCTGTCCTCCCCTGCTCAGACTCTGTCTCTCTCTCTCTCTCAAAAAAAAAATAAGATAAAATAAACATTAAAAAAAAATTAGGAAAAAAAAAGGAAAGAAACCTGGGTATCATTTTTGTCTTCATCCTTTCTTGTCTTACTGGGAATTCTTATCCCATTTTCAATTTATTCTCTCATTACAGACAGGGTGATTTTTACAAAACACAAATAAGATTGTGCTTTTTTTCTTACATGAAATGTTACTATGGTCTCCATTTGCTCTTAAGAACACATCTTTAACATGTCTGAGCAGAACTGATATCATCTGATATGTACCCACTGTCATAGTTTCACCTTTCAATGTGCTTCCTTTCCCTCAATGTACTTTAACTCCATGGTTTTTCCCTAACACTGCTATGTTTCTGCTCCAACCAGGGTCTTTACTAAAGGGTCCTTCTGCCTTGAAGGAGCTATCTACTCCCCCCCTCTACACCTAGGGGTCTCTTCAATTTATTTTAGATTTTAGGTATACTCTTTCCTTGGGTAGTTTCTATGAACTTCTTTACTAGGGACAGTCTTCTATTACACAATAACTTTTATAGGCTATATAACTAATCCTTCTGCCACTCCATGGTAAGTTCTGTCAAGGCAATGTTTGACTCATACATTTTATCCAGGAGTACTTGTTGTATACTGATTACTCAATAAATATGTGCTCAATAAATTAATAGAGATAATACCACCTATTATTATATATATAACCCAATTATTTGCTTCATTTTTCTTTCAAGAGACATTTATAATGTACATCTTTGAAGTCAGTATATTTTATTCATTTATTACCAGGAATTTTATTTTGTGTTGTCATATGGAACTATTCACATTGTACTTTCAAATGAGATGGGTTTTTGAATCCCAACAATGTTTTAATTGAATTTCTTGGGAGATATTTTTTAAGAATATAATCAGAAATAAGCCCACAATTTTATGGTCAATTAATCTTCGACAAAAAAGACAAAAATATGCAACAGGACAAAGACTATCTCTTCAATAAATGGTATAGGGAAAACTGGACAGCCACATGTAAAAAAATGAAACTGGACCACTTTTTCACACCATACACAAAGATAAACTCAAAATTGATTAAAGACCTAAATGTGAGAATGGAGACCATAAGAATCCTAGAAGAGAAGATAGCCAATAATTTGTCTGGCATTGGCTGTAGCAATATTTTTCTAGATATGTCTCCTGAGGCAAGGGAAATTAAGGCAAAAATAAACTACTGGAACTACATCAAAATAAAAAGCTTATGCACAGCACAGTAAACAATCAAAAAAATAAAAATAAAAGACAATTTACTGAATGAAAGAAGATATTTCCAAATAATATATTCGATAAAGGGCTAGAATCCAAAATGTATAAAGAACTTACAAAACTCAACACTGAAAAAATACAACAAACAAAAAAAAGCCAATTAAAAATTGAACAGAAGAGGAGCACTTGGGTGTCTCAGTCAGTTAAGCATCCAACTCAGTTTCGGCTCAGGTCGTGATCTATGCTGAGCACGGAGCCTGCTTAAGATATTTTCTCTCTCCCTCTCCCTCTCCCATTCCTTCTCCCTCTCCGCCTCCCTCTCCCTTTGTCCCTCTCTCCACTCATTCACTCTCTCTAAAAAATAAAAAAATAATAATTAAAAAAATTAAAAAATGAGAAAACACAAATAGACATATCTTCAACATACAGGACAACAGACACATGAAAAATGCTCAGTATCACTCATCATCAAGGAAATGAAAATCAAAATCACAATGGGACACCACCTCATACCTGTCAGAATGGCTAAAATAAAAAACACAAGAAACAGCAAGTGTTGGCAAGGATGTGGAGAAAAAGAAACCCTCGTGCATTGTTGGTAGGAATGCAAACTGCTACAGCCACTGTGGAAAACAATGTGGAGGTTCCTCAAAAAATTAAAAAAAAATAGAATTACCATATGATCCAGTAATTTCACCACTGGGTATTTACCCAAAGAATATGAAAACGTTAATTTGAAAAGATATATGCACTCCAGTTTAATGCAGCATTATTTACAATAGCCAAGACAAGAAACAGCCCAAGTGTCCATCAACAGATGAATGACTAAAGAAGATGTGGCATATATATACATTTGAATATTATTTAGCCACAAAAAACAATAAAATATTGCCATTTGTAACAACGTGGATGGATCCAGAAGGCAAATGCTAAGCAAAATCAGTCAGAGAAAGATGAATACCATAAGATTTGCCTCACAGGTGCAATTTAAGAAACAAAACAAATGAACAAAGAAAAAGGAGACAAACCAAAAAACAGACTCTTAACTATAGAGAACAAACTGATGGCTACCAGAGGGAAGTGGGGATGGGTGAAATAGGTAATGGGGATTAAGATAAACATGATGAACACTGAATAATGTATAGAATTGTTGAATCACTGTATTGCACACCTGAAACTAACATAACACAATATGTTAACTATACTGGAAATTTAAAAATATATAATCACTTCTATAAATACTAATGATAATTTTTATTTTTCTTTCAAATATCTGTTTCTTTTTTTAGTTTTTCTTGATTATTGTCTAAAACTTTCAGGAAAAAAGATATGTAATGATAAGAGCAATTGTGGCATCCTTACAGACAGCTTTAAAAATATTTTGGAGTTAAAAAAAGAGAAAGAGTAATAAGCTACACTAGTAAGTAGTAGAAAGAATAGAACTGTTAAGTTCCTACTTTACACTTACCTTGTCAAAAATATTACCCCTGCTTGGTATGTTGTCATTCTACTTCCAAGACAATATTATATTTTTTCTCTTTGGAGTCTTATATTCCTATGACAAGCTTTCCATACTTTTATGTGAGTATTAATATGTAGTTTGAGTTACTGTTGCTTATCATATGTCACCAAAAGTTCCAAAAAAGCCCAGTGGACTCCAAACAAGGCTGCTCAGATTTAAATCCTTGCTTCATTTCTTACTAAGTTTTGTGACCTAAGAAAGTCATCTGATTTCACTCTGACTCATTTCCTCATCTGTAAAATAGAATGAGAAGAAGATGAGTTAGTATACATAAAACATTAAAAGATCTTGAAGATTTACAGTGCTGTTATTAAGGACTCTACAATTATACAATCACAAACACGGAATTATAGAATGTTGAATAGAAAATGATGTGATACAAGAAAATAATTTTTATTATTTAAAACTGAAAACATATATATAAAATGTATTTAACTCATATTCAATTAGTGCTTCAATATATTTTAAAGGATTATAAACTAAAAATGCATATCAAAAGCATTTATTTTAGTGAAATCTCTATGTTATCAAAGGCCAGTTGTAGGTCAAGAAACAATCTGAAGTGTTCTGATTTACTTGTAGAAGCTCAAGGACAGGAAGAAGACTTAAATTAATCAAGTGAAAATTTTGAGAATGAGTTTGAAAGATGTGTCTCTTTAATTTCAATAAAAGATTAGCACTGAGAGAAAAGACGAAAAAATCAAGAGGTATGATTTGAGAGGTGCCATCCTAGAAGTATCTCATCCTCAGGGACAATTTATAAATATGTGGAATATCCTCAAATCCAATCAAGATGGTTAGAGTATATTTAAAGGGAAAAAGCAGTCATCAAACTTAGAAAAAGTTATAACTTAATCACTGTGTGTTATCCCTCATGAAACTTCTGATTAGAATTCAGTCCAATGCACATTTATATCAGGCTGGGATGCCAAGAATGATGAACATCAGTGTTCCAGTCCCTCAAAAAGCAATGGCATAATCCTCATAGTGAAAGTATTAAAGTGCCTGCTGGCTTAAATCTAAGTCTCCCATGTGTTTATCATTGAGAATCAGTCCATGAGTCTGACTGATTAAAATAAATATATAATTGATCTAAAAATTGGAGGAACCAAGTAAAATCTCTTATGTTATGATAGATATTTAAGGTTAACCTAAGATAAATAATTGGGGTTGTAAATTATTGTATCAAGGTTAAATTTGTTTATGAGGATACACTTTTATTTTATTTTTTAAGTTTATTTATTTTGAAAGATTAAAGAGAGAGTGAGACAGGAGAAGAGAGAGAGGGAGAGAGAGAATCCCAAGCAGATTCCTCAGTGTCAGCACACAGACCAATGCAGGGCTCCAAAGCAGGAACCATGAGATCATGATCTGAGCCAGGGTTGGATGTTTAACCTACTGAGCCACCCAGGAGCCCTGAGGATATGCTTTTATTTATTTATTTGTTTATTTATTTATTTATTTATTTTAATGTTTATTTTTGAGAGACAGAGACATGGCACGACTTGGGGAGGGGCAGAGAGAGGGGAAGACACAGAATCTGAAGAGGCTCCAGGCTCTGAGCTGTAAGCAGAGAACCTGTCTCGGGGCTTGACCTCAAGAGCTGTGAGATCATGACCTGAGCCGAAGTCGGCCGCTCAGCCAACTGAGCCACCCAGGTGCCCCAGGATATGCTTTTAAAATCAGGTTTACATAGGGGCTCCTGGGTGGCTCAGTTGGTTGAGCGTCTGACTTTGGCTCAGGTCATGATTCTCACAGTCTGTGGGTTCAAGCCCCATGTCAGGCTCTGTGCTGATAGCTCAGAGCCTAAAGCCTGCTTTGGATTCTGTGTCTCCCTTTCTCTCTGCCCCTCCCCTGCTCATGCTCTGTCTCAAAAATAAAAACATTTAAAAAAATAAAAAATAAATACAATCAGGTTTACATAAGTCATATGCTATATTGAAATGTGTCTTGCTATTGCTAATATCAACAAGCAGTTTTCCAACAAGGGAGCATTCTCTTGTAAGAGTCTCAGAAGTCAATTTCTGAGAATTGGGGGCTTTAAAAATATTAAGGGTTTGGATGAGTTATGGTATGATGGGGAAAGATGGGATTCAGTAGGCACAAAGTGAGAGGCTAAAGCTTGAAGGTCCCTGGGTGGAGGAAAACACATTTTAAAACATTTCTTCTGGGAACATCTGACCTTGAGCACACTCCCTCAGGAATAAAATTCCACTTAAGAATGTAACAGACACCACCTACTCCCTCAGGTTTCCCCTAGGAATTTGACAAACAAAAGACACGACTGAAAATAAGTAGACCATAAAACACATGACCCACAAGGAACAGTGACCATTCACAGACCACCCCTCATACAATGGAAATGAGCCAACCAAAATGGAATGACTAAGCATTTAGAGTTACCTAGACAAGGGTAGAACCTGAGAAGGAACAAGGGCCCCTGATCAAAACCCTACAAAACACAGTCCCTTGCCTGTAGTCACAGGTATTCATTTTTGAATATCCCCTCTTTGTAAAGAGAGCTTTCATACTGTTCTTACTCTCTAATCTTCTACTCTAATAAACTTCTGCCTGCTGCTCATTTTAATCTGTGTCCATTCTTCAGAGTGGTGAGACAACACATTCTGGGTATTGAGGTAAAAACTCCTGCAACAATGGGCAGCATAAAAGATGTTATCTATGAGATGTCATGTGAGCAGCAGAGTTTCGAAAAAGGAGTGGGATTAGAAATTGTAAAAATATACATAATGCTGTCTTCCCCACTCTCCTATAAAAAGACATTATTGACAAATGTGATGTGATTCATGATAGAAAAAGGTTGTTAGTTAAAAGACATCTAAAGTCATAAAGGACATTTTAAATCCTGAGAAATGATAGATAGGGAAAACAGTTGACATTTTGGAAGGTTTGAACAACACAACTTATGAACTGTTCTAATACATATATAAGTAACACTGCTCAACAAGTTGAGTATACACATTTGTTTGCCTTCTTAAAATGTTTAAACACCATATATATATATATATATATATATATATATATATATGTATTTAAGGTGTACAGCATGGTGTTTTGAGATACACACACATAATGAAATGATTACTACAGTCAAGCTAATTAACCATCTCCCCACACAGTTATGTTTTCTTCCCCAGGAGACTAGGGTGTGCCAAGTCCTTTCAGTTCCCTGAGACAGGCAAGATGGATGCCAGCCTCTCCAGAAGCAGCTGGAAAAGTTGAGGTGCTAGATATGTGGTCCAGTTGCTTCTCTCCTCATGGAGAACCTGGGAGCTGGAGTTTATCTTACACTCACTCTGCATTGAGCTGGGGAAAGGAGCTATGGCAGATGCCTGCACTCTTTTTCAGACCACATGCAACTCACTCAGGGAAAGATCAGATAAGATAGGCAGAGAGGGAAATGATAGGACCTGAGGTCCCTGGGTGGGGAAAAACACAAAATTTGGAACAATGCTGAGTGTCTGACTACAGCAAATTCCCTCTGGCACAAGGTTTCTCTTGAGAATGTAACAGACACCACCTACTCCCCCTGAGGGTCCCCTCAGGAAATTGACAAAGGCCCTAATTAAATAGAAGTAGGAGACCTTACTAGGAATGATAAGACCATAGGCAACCCTTCACACAATGGAATATAGCCAATTAGGAATGGACCACCCAGCACCTAGGGCTATCAAGCCAATAATGGTGGGGGGGGGGAGGGGGTGACCGGAACCTTATAAAAACAAGGACCCTTGCCTATAGTCTAGGATATTCACCTTATAATGTCCGCCCTCTGAAGAGAGCTTTCATACAATTCTTCCCAATATTATACTCTAAACGTTTGTCTGCTGTTCATTTTGTGTCCACTTTATTCTTCAAAGCCAGGAGACAAGGAACCCGAGTTTTGAGGTAAAGGATCCTTCAACACCACTTCGCACCGCGGTTGTGCTCTCCTGTCACTCCCGGGGGACAAGTGAATGGCAGGCCCCAGGAGCTCTCAGAGACAGGTGCCTTAACGGAAGGCTTGGTTCCATCTCTGGAGTAAGGGGGCAGGAGGGGTGCTGCAGGAAGTGCTCACCCACCATTTCCAATTCCCTGGAGACCAGTGATTACCTGCCAGAGACAAGCCAGGTGGGAGCCAGACCTCTGGGGGAGGCAGCTGGAAAAGGTGGGGTACTGGATGTGCAGTCTAACTCCTTGTAGGGAGAGGCCAGGAGATGGGTGTTATTGCAGGGGCGTGATAGGACCGGAGTCACAGTAGGCCTCCAGAGGCATTTGAAAGCGCGCTTCGTTTACCGGAGACCAGAGGGACTAGCACAGGCCCGGACGCAGGACTTCCTAGACACAGGGAGAAGCCCAGCCTTTCGGACAGCTGCGGAAAAGTGAGGTCACTGGAAGCGTAGTCCAATTCCTTCCAGGTAGAAGCTAAAGGGTTTGTTTGTTATCCCTGGAAGAACCAGTGGAGGACTGAGGTGGGAGTCACCGGAAGTGCCCACACGCCCCACCTACCTCGCGTGTCCGCGACTCCCACCACTCACCACAGAAAACGAGCTGTGGGTGGCGAGGTCGTGGAGTCTCACCAACCAGTCACTGGCCAAGCTTCCAGAGGACACTGTGTGCCGCCAAAGGTAGGAGAGTTGGAAACCAGACCCTCCGGCAGCAGTCGGAGGAGTCGGGACTTGAGACGTGCAGTCTAGCCCCTTCCAGGGGGAAGCTGGGAGCTGGGCTTTACGGCAGGCTCGCTCGCTGTGCGCAGAGCCCTGCGGACTAGCAGCCCTACGTGGTCTTGCAAGGGTTTAAAGGGGTATCTATGCTGTCTGTGGTCCCAGGGGTCTAGTGAATGTCAGCTCCCAGAAATACGAGTTAGGGGTCCGTTCCTCAGGTGGTAACAGGTGCATTGGATGCGTGGTGTCAACTTTTCACTGCTCAGGAAAAAGCTGGGAGTTGGGGACGCTTTCTAGATGGTATGGTGCTGTGCCAGGGATGGGGTTTAAGATGCCAGTGTGTCTCAGCTTTTCCTACCTGTTTCACTGTGGGTATTTTCTCAGTCACTGAGTGTGTAGGAGATTCTCAGCTATTCCTGGATTTTTTTCATAGATTGGTCCTACACATGTAGCCGTTTATTCCTTGCATCCGTACTTGGGAGGAGAGAGAGTCTGGAGCGTTCCATTTCACCATCTTATTAATGTTACTCCCCTCCCCCTCATTCCTTTCAAAGATACATACAATATTTACAAATATTTGTTTCCAGGTTGTAAAGAAAGTGTTATTAAATTATAAAATATCAACTCCGCATGGAGGAACATTTGTGATTACAGCATAATGTTAGTAATTCGCTACTAAACAGGTATTCTCATCTATAGATCTGGAATATAAAAATGGGTTTACGAAGAGTGAATGGGTAAAATACTCTATTAACTGCTACCAGCTGATCATGATTGAACAGCACCATGATGTGTGAAGTTTAATGAAGCTAAATAAGAACTTGAAGGGACTTGGAGGGAACTTTTAAATTTGTTTTAGAAAATAGGAAATATTAAACATTAATAAGCATTTTCCTCAACATGCTGGAAACATATCAACCCAAAGGAAATATAGAAAAGAAAGTGGTAAAAGTTTTTAAAAATTTAAAAATTAAAAAGGGAAATCAGATTAATCAACTATGCATACAGATGATCAATAAAACAAGACGCTGTTTTTGAAAACTAATAAAGTATCTTAGTATAAGAAAATATAAATGATGGGCTCCTGGGTGGCTCAGTCCATTAAGCATCCAACTTCAGCTAGAGTCTTGAGCTCACAGTTCTTGAGTTCAAGATCCGCATTGGGCTCTCTGCTGTCAGTGCAGAGCCTGCTTCAGATCCTCTGTCTCCCTCCCTCTCTCTCAAAAATAAACATTAAAAAAAGAAAATATAAATGAGTTCTTATCTATTTATAATTAAATGTAAAAGCAATGTAGGAACAAAAAGCTACTTCATAAGCTTGAGTTATTTTAAAATTTGAAATCTTAAAATTCAAAATATTAAAAGAAGTTTTATTATTTTTTTTATGTTTACTTATTTTGAGAAGGAAGGAGGGGCAGAGAGAGGAAGAGATTGGATCCCAAACAGGCTCCATGCTGTCCACGCAGTGCTAGACTTGGGGCTCTGTCTCACCAACTGTGAGATCATGACCTGAGCTGAAATCAAGAGTTGGACACTTAACCGACTAAGCCACCCAGGTGCCCCTAAAAGAGAAGTTTTAAATACTGGTAGAAAAACATTGTATTGGGGCTCCTAGGTGGCTCATTCGGTTGGACGTCCGACTTCAGCTCAGGTCATGATCTCGCGGTCCGTGAGTTCAAGCCCCGCATCGGGCTCTGGGCTGACAGCTCAGAGCCTGGAACCTGTTTAGTATACTGTGTCTCCCTCTCTCTCTGACCCTCCCCTGCTCATGCTGTGTCTCTCTCTGTCTCAAAAATAAATTTAAAAAAATGTAAAAAAAAAAAAAAAAAGAGAAACATTGTATTTAGCATATATGAAACAGGCAAAGATGATCCTTAGACAAAGATAATATAATCTTTAGAAAAATTAATTAAGGGCATAAACTGAATGTTCACAAAAAGGAAATAAAGTTAAAATGAAAAATAAACATAGAATCACCATATGATCCAACAATCTCACTTCTGGGTATCTATCTGAAGGAAATGAAATCTGTATCTCAAAGAGATATCTGCACTTCCATGTTCATTGCCAGCATTATTCACAATAGCCAACATATGGAAATGACATAACTGTCTATTGAGGAATGAATAGATGAAGAAAATGTGATATATAGATGTATATTTGTGATGATATGGCTGAACCTAGAGGGCATTATGCTAACTGAAATTAGCCAGCCAGAGAAAGATCATACTGTATGATCTCATTTATGTGTGGTATCTAAAAAAATTGAACTCCTAGAAACAGAATGGTGGGTGTCAGGGAGTGGGAGGTGGGGGAAACGGGGAGATGTTTGTTAAAAGGAAAAAAAACTTTTCAGTTATCATGAGTAAGTTTTGGGGATCTAATGTACAGAATAATACTTTATTGTATACTTATATTTGCTGAAAGTATAAATCTGAAGTGTTCTCATCACACACATAACAACAATGGTAACTGATGTGATGATGTGGTAATTAACTTGATTGTAGTAATCATTCCACAGTGTACATGTATATCAAATCATAATATTATGTAACTTAAATCTATACAAGTTTGTCATTTATACTTCAATAAAGCTGGGGGAAAAAAGCCCTTCAGGTGATTCTGATATACACACAAGTTTGAGAAGCACTGCCATGGAGATTTTAGTTGACATTTATTTAAAATTATACTTCTTGTACTTTGAAATTTTTATTAACTACTTCATGATTTACAAATAAAAGTACTATTCAGAAGCTAAGAAATATTTGTTTAAATCAAAGAAAATAAATTCAATATATAAAATAATTTTTTTATTCACAACTAAGCAAAGTGTATATGATGATAGAAATAAATGGTGATGATGATGGTAACTGTACTTTGAGCATTCTTATACACTTGGGGCAGAAGTTTAAATTGAAACAAACATTATTAAAATCAACTTAGCAAAATATATCAAGGATTATAAAAACATTTAATAAGATTTGTACCAGTAATTCTCTTCCTTATAATCTATTAAAAAAAAGCAACAATAAAACACACACACACACACACACAAACACACACACACAGGCTCGTGACTTATCTAGAACAGAGTTTAATAAGGCGTTGCTTATGATAATAACAAAATAGAAGTAGTCTAGGTATCCCCAAGTGAGAACTAAAGAAATTATGGTACAGGGATATTATAGTGGACATTTGTGAGAGACTACCCATCATTCATTATTTCTTTGTCCCTTTCTCAGAGGACTGGATTTTTCCCCATTTGATAACATCTATATGGTTTTTGTGGTGTGGGCCCTGATTGACTTCATTTAAAAAATATATATATATAAATGGACAGAAATTAGTGAGGTGAGAGGCAGCAGATGGACGTAAGCCAGTCAGTTCCCATTATTCTTCCTGGATATAGTGATTGGTTCAAGGTAAATATGTCAGGTATTATGTTCAGCTGTATACAACTGAGAACCCAAATAATAGCAGTTAGCTAAATATCAGTTTATTTGTATCGTGCAACAAGCCCAGAGCCAGGCAAGCTGGGACAGGATCAGTGGCTGCATTATCCATTACAATAGTTTCTTCTTTCTCTTCTCAGACATCCTTACCAGACAGCCTGTTTCATACATGTCTCTTTGTAGCCCCAAAATGGCAGCTCCACAACCAGTACCATACCCACATTGCATTCAGAAAGAAGAGAAAAGGGCAAAGGCAAAATACTCTTTCCAGTGAGTGTTTTACACTTAAAGAACTTACTTTGGAACCGTCCAACAACTACTATGTGCAACTCAGGTTATATGCTTAGGAAGTCTGGAGAATGTGTTTTTACTTATTTGAGGTACTGTTAGTAAACAAGAGAAGACTAGGTAAGGTAGGCAATTGGTGATTTCTGGACAAAGGTTGGTATACAAAATGAGTTGGTCCTGACAAAGAGATATCCTTGACTTTTTGCATGGTTTAAGGCGCAATGTTTGCATTTAAGACTTTAAATGTCTTTTTTGTATGAATCAAGCAATATTTGATTAGTATCTATCCTCAGTGCCCCATCATATTCTTAATTGTTTATACTGATAGATAATAAAATTGAATATTACAAAAATAATTTGCATTCTTAGAGAAATAAGCTTTATAAAATTGTCTCTTAAATGACAGCCAATTAAAATTACATTTCATTCCATAAAAAAATGTTTTCCTTCTATATATGAATACAGTTTATTTTAGGAAGTTAAATATGCCTGGAGTATATCTATCTTATCACTCTTTCTCTTAGGGTAATGCTTAGGGATGGAAAGGATAAGAAAGCTGTAACAGGAGATTTAATTTGAGCCCAGACCCCATGTTTGCTAATTAGGGGCTCCTAAGCAACTATCTGAAAATCAATTACTCCATCTGTAAAATGGAAGTAACTAGAGTATACTCAGAGGATTCTTATGGGGATTAAAGGAGAAAATATTCGAGAAGCATTTTAAAAACCATCCAGTTCTGCACACATGTTTTTAAACATTGCACTTTTATCCTTTTTTATTTTCTCTTTTATTCACTTATAAAGCACAATGTTGACTTACTCAGCTTAATTAATGTAATATCATATAACCTCAGTTTCATACAAAGCTCTACCATAATGAAATTTTATTTCACTTACACTTTAGAAACACTTTGGTGCCATTTCCTGGGCAGAAACAAGGGGGAAAGCTAGCCCTAGGCATGGGTCTAACAGGCTGGACTCTCACCAAGCATATGGGCAGGCAGTGCTTCAGTGGAGAGATCAAAGCACAGTGGATGGCCTTTCTCTGGATGACTTCCCCAGATGCTTAAGGTTCTTGAAACAGCTGTTTCAATCCAGGCACAGCAGGTCTCTCACTCTACCCTCTGCAAATTGTGGATTCTTTGCAATGTCCCCAATGGATTTTTTTCCCTTACAAATTGGCCTATAGATTAGGCATGACAATTAGCACTAGTCTATAGACTTAGAAAAAGGAAGAAATTAGTCTGGAACTAAAAGAAAACATGTTGTGCACTAGTAAAACATATGATATAAATTAAGTCAGAAAATTATAAATGATGGAGCTAGAAGGGACCTTTGAGACTCCATAGCTCATTGTCCTCATTTTACAGATGAGGAATCTGATGGTATTGTATTTTGTTAGGCTGCTCATGGTCACCATCTCTAAAATCGTTAAATTTGTCAGTGGGAGGAGGGAAGCAAAGACAATTTTGCAGATTCATTTTGTATATGGTTATATTTTGAATCTAAGCATAAAACAGGCTTAATATTTATTCAAAACACAGCAGTCATTTAAACCTTTATAAACTATAAGGATACTACCAAGTTTTAAAATATATATTTATTTTTAAAAAATTTTTAACTCAGTTTTTTTTTTAAATTTTTTAAATGTTTATTTATTTTTGAGACAGAGACAGAGCATAAATGGGGTAGGGTCAGAGAGAGAGGGAGACACAGAATCTGAAGCAGGCTCCAGACTCCTAGCTGTCAGCACAGAGCCCGACGTGGGGCTTGAACCCACGGACCGTGAAATCATGACCTGAGCCGAAGTCGGACGCCTAACCGACTGAGCCACCCAGGCGCCCCAACTCAAACAGTTTTTTATTAGTATTTTAACTGCAGACAGTTGCTTGCTCTCTGGCCAAATATTTTTAATGCAAATCTAGTATATCAAAGCAAAAAGCACTCTATTAAAATATTTATTTATTCATTCATTTGCATTCATTCATTTATGTAATAATCATCCAGTGAATATTTACAAAATGTCAATTACTGTTTTAGTATTGTACTAGGCATTGGAAATATAGAAACAAAGAAGTGGCTCTGGATCTCTAAAGGAGAGAGTATAGTATAATTGTTAAGAGAAGCAGCTCTGATCTACCTTTTCTAAGTTTGAATTTTTTCTTCTTTACCATCTAGCTAAGTGACATTCAGCAAGTTACTTAACCTCTGTGACTTCGTTTCCTCATCTGTAAATGTTCATAATAATGCTACCTGCTTCACAGGGATTTTTATGAGGATTAAATGATGTAATTCATGCATAGTTTTAGCACACTCCCTGGCAATTACTAATCACTGCATAAATGTTCATTACACATGGCATTAGAAAACTCCTTATCTAGTGAGACATACAAAAAATTATACCACTACTCACAATATGATTAAATACAATCTGAGAAAGATAAGCATGTTCATTTGTCCCTGAAAAATATATCCCTGTTCCTGTCATACTAACAAGATGCAGCACCAAATCCATGGTTGGAGGATAAGGCCACTGTTTCCTGAGAAGTTAATCCTTGAGTTGCTTTTTACAGATTTGTTTTGTTTTCCTTTCGTTTTTGTTTTTCCATATACTTGATAGTGATTTAGGAGAAACATAATATGAGGAATGAATATTCCAGGTAGAGGAATGCATTTAGATTTTAGAATGATTGCTTTGGCAATGATATGGAAGGTGACTTGAACTTATCCTGAAGACAGGTGTTATGAAGATAGGTGATTGGTGTACTGCAGCTGAGAAATTATGTATGCAAGAGCATAAGAGAGAAGACATATTTGAGAAACATTTGGAAGATGGAATTAGCAGGGCGCCTGAGTGGCTCAGTCGGTTAAGCATCCAACTTTGGCTCAGGTCATGATCTCACAGTTCATGAGTTCAAGCCCTGCATCAGGTCTGTGCTGACAGCTCAGAGCCTGGAGCCTGCTTCGGATTCTGTGTCTCCTCTCTCTAACTCTCCCCTGCTCGCTCGCTCTCTCTCTCTCTCAAAAATAAACATTAATTTAAAAAAAAATTTTTTTTAACGTTTATTTATTTTTGAGACAGAGAGAGACAGAGCATGAACGGGGGAGGGTCAGAGAGAGAGAGGGAGACACAGAATCTGAAACAGGCCCCAGGCTCTGAGCAGTCAGCACAGAGCCCGATGCGGGGCTCAAACTCACATACCGCGAGATCATGACCTGAGCCGAAGTCGGACGCTTAACTGACTGAGCCACCCAGGTGCCCCAATTTTTTTTTTTTAAATAAGAAAAAAAAAGAAGATGGAATTAGCAAGACTTGGTTGCTGATTCTATGTGGAAAGTGGGGGAGAGGAAGGAATTGTGTAAACCTTTTGCAGTTCTTTAAAAAAGAACTTTTTTTAAAAAAGTGGCTATGGAGTGAAGTCATTTACTGCAATAAGGAAGATGAGTCTTGATGAAATGATGATGACATGGGTCTGCCTGTGCTGTACATGAGCAAAACTTTCTAAATGACTTATAATTCACGAGGGAAAAAGATACCAAAGCTGGATACAAAGATAAAGATACCTTCACTATAAAGTGGCTAAAAGTCATGTGCATGGATAGCATTATTCATTTAGAAAAGAAAAGAATGCTTTGGTCAAGCCTAAGATTAAAAGCTTGGGCTGGGAGAAATCAGTAAAGCTGTCAAGTACTTTTGAAACGAGTTAAGGTAAAGGAAAGACATACACTGAGGTACCTAACATTTAATAAACATACACTATAACGTGAGCCATTTATGTGATAAAATATTTAATTCTCAAAAGAGCCTGTGAAACAGTCATCACTATTATAATAATGAGAAAGCTGAAACTCTGCTTACACAATATTTTCAAAACCCCACAGCTCAGGGGCACCTGGGTGGCTTAGTATATTGAGCGTCTACTCTTGATTTAATCTCAAGTCATGGTTTCACAGTTCATTAGATAGAGCCCCATGTCAGGCTCTCTCTTCCCCTCTCTTTGTCCTTCCCATGTTTGTGCTTATGCACACATGCTGTCTTTCTCCCAAAATATATAAATAAACTTTAAAAAAATCACACATCTCCTATATGGCCTCTTTTATGAGGTAACACACAAGCCAAATTGACATAAAAGCTTTCATGTTTCAGTACTTCATTTCATGACCAAAAAAGCACGAAGAAACAAAACAAAGATCAGGCCAAAAAAGGAGAAAATTCCATGAACACAGATATAGAGAATCTCTAAATAGAATATTTTTGAAGAAGTTGCAAGTGAAAAAAGTAAGACTTTATTTAGGTTGGTATTATTGTTACTGTTTTGAAGAAGAGAGAAATTTAAACACACACACAGATATAGCATCCATATTTTCTTAATGATGCAATTTTGGAATAACTTTACATTGACTGAATGATTGCGGCATAAATTTGTATGTGTGTTGTGAGTTGAAAAAAATATAAAATAACCAGAATTTATTTCAGCAGCATTTCATTTCAGGAATATCCTCTATTTGATGGGAAGATGTTCTCTAATTATCCAGATTAGAGTGAAAGCTAGAACTTGGGAGTGGATGGGAGAGCTGACTCTAGCAGTGACTGTATTTCAAAGCCTAGAGGTTCTTGGTTTTGGGTAATACGAGAATGGGAAGAGGAAGAGGAAGAGAAGCAAAACCCGCAGAGAAAGCGGATGTCAAGAAGATTGTGTAGTACATTATATAAATCCTCCAAGGGAGCATCTCTGTATTCTGTGCAAGTCCATAGAGCACCAAATATCTTGACTTGAGTGGATTTCTTTTATTGATTGTTAAATGGACCAAATTAACCCTAGGAATTCAGATGTTAACTTACTGCATGTTCTTTGTGAGAAGTCTCTCTGTTTGCCATCTTTTTGGCTTATTTTAATTTTTCCCTTTGGCTCTTTCAATAGTTTAAATATGTTGAACCTAGTTATAGATTGCAGTTTATTTAGCCTGCCAAGGATTCTTTGGGATTTTTTTTTTAATATGGGTATGATGTCTTTTGTTCATATTGGAAAATTCTCAGCCATTATCTCTTTTTTTTAATTAGTTAATTAATTTATATTTTAGTGTTTGTTTATTTTTGAGACAGAGAGAGACAGAGCATGCACAGGGAAGGGGCAGACACACACACACACACACACACACACACACACACAGAATCCAAAGCAGGCTCCAGGCTCTGAGCTGTCAGCACAGAGCCCAACTCGGGCCCTAAACTCATGAACCCATGAGGTCAAGACCTGAGCTGAAGTTGTATGCTTAACCACCCAGGTGCCCCTCAGCCATTATCTCTTAAATACTTTCTCTACCTAATTTTCTCTTTCCTACTGACTTCTATTAAATGTTTGATCTTTTGATTGTATTATTTTATCTTACCCTCTTTTTCAGAATTTATCTCTGCTTTATTCTGAATAGATTCTTCTGATCTTCTAGTTTACTACTGCTCTATTCAGCTCTTCTGTTTAATGTATTCATTGAATTTATCTTAATGGTATTTTTCATTTCTGTGAGTTTTATTTTGTTTGTAAATCTATATCATTTTAAAAGGATTTTTTTTTTTAATGTCAAACATATATAGTCTGTTGGAATGGTGATCTGCCATGGTCCCTTAAAATTATTGCTAGGTATTCCAAAAAATGAAATCTCTGGATGCTTTTTATTTGGGTCATTTCTTGGGGTTGTATTTGCAGTGAGCAGCCATGAGGGATGAGGGAACATCTTTCTCGGGACAAAAATCAGACATCCTTTGGTTTATTACAAAAGTGGTAAACCCAGTTAGCTCTCCATTAACAGAACCTACTCTGTGGGCAGGTATCCACCATCGGCACCGTGCCACCATCCTGGAACTTACAGGACGTGGGGAAGCAGTGTGAACATCAGGCTGACTACATTCTAGGTACTTCTTTGCCCTAAATAATAAAATACTTTGCCTCCGACCGAGTAATCTAGTGTCTTCTTCCACTATCTACAGTATGGTAAATAGGCTAGCTTTTTATGTTGTATATGTATGTCCATTATCCACTGAAACAAACAATACATAATACACACCTGACTAATCATGAAACAAAGTGTGTGCTACCTATGTATTTTGTATTCCGCTTAAAAGTGTTTGAGGGAAATACTGTCTTGGACAAATAAATAACAAAGTTATGTAATTAAATATAATTTAATTATTTTATTTAAAATCATTCTGTCTCTATTTATATCAGTTATTTCCCAGAACTGTGGAACTGTTCTGCAAAGTTCAAATATTTTGCAGTGAATTTTTTTTCTACTTTTGTCTGAAAATTTAGTTCGTCTTAAAGCTTGTGTAAGATAGAGTTAACTGCAATGAAATGATTATAAGTACTTTAGGTAGACAGGTTAGATTAAAATATTTTAGTGTCTCATAGAAAAGATTAGTAAATGAAAGCTGTACTTACATGTGCAAACTTTCTAGAGAACGTGGTTTATTTGGTAGTAAAGTAAGTTGAATCAGATTACCTATCAGATACAGCCATTTTTAAGGAGCCCAATGAAGAGTATTTTAATACAAATTTATTAAAAATACACATTTCTATAATGTATGGGCCCTGCTAATGAGTAAATTGGGTGAAATGAAAAAACCTAAAGAAAGCCCTAGTTGTAATTTTTTACAATTTTAAAATATGATTTTAATATCAATTTTATAATTAACTCTAAGAAAAAATTAATCAGATGCATAGAATTTGGATGACAATTGTTTTTAGTCAGTTATGCTCACTTTGTTTTTTATAGGAGCTTGTCAACTTCAATTTTCTCATTGTAAATTCCTTTGTATTAAGTGTAGGTCTTAGCAGACAAATATTAAATGATATTTCTGAAAGAAAATAGTTCTGTTTTCATGGGTAGTCAGGAATAAGCAGCTTCACATTACAACTTGACATAGGTGTATGTGCCTTTAAAATGAATGTACCAAAGTGGTTTGCACTGAATTTTTTTTATCCTTTGATGCTTTACCTGATGCTTTACAAGGTGTAAAAGCCTCAAAGCTTTGGTTTGAATGGTGCCAAACATAAAATAGAAAGCACTAAGTTTGATCTGAAACCCACAAAATCAAAAGTTTGCCTAGCCAAAAATCCAACATATTACTGTCTGTGGATTGCAATGGGAGCTAAAGTATTGCTTTTATTCCTTTCATCCAACATTCTGAAGGACATTTGAGGACTTGATTTATGGCTTTGAGGAAGTGAGTCTGGCTGTTAACAAGCAAAGAATTTAAATGTCCAGTTGCCTATATTCCTTCAAAGGCATACCATTGATACCTCATGTACTTTCATTAAGTGGTATGTCTAGATTATATGACCAAAGGAGGAGAATTCTTCCAATCTAGGTTTTTATTGATGTGAATTTAGCAGAATTTCTTTATGATCTATCATTCATGTATCCCATAAGCTTTGTTATCTAAAGTGTGAGTTGAAGTTATAATTCATATAACTCCAAAATTGTGATCAAGCATTTAAAATGCCATACTTGAGGGGTGCCTGGGTGGCTCAGTCAGTTGAGTGTCCGACTTTGGCTCAGGTCATGATCTTACAGGTCGTGAGTTTGAGCCCTGCATTGGGCTCTGTGCTGACAGCTCAGAGCCTGGAGCCTGCTCTGAATTCTGTGTCTCCTTCTCTCTCTGCCCCTCTCCCACTCATGCTCTGTCTCTCTCTGTCTCTCAAAAATGAATAAACATTAAAAAAAAAAGAATAAAGTGCCATACTTGAGATGGAGATAATGTATAAATAGATATGTGAAGTCTTTCTTATAAGAGACCAAATTATTTTGAAAATGTGGGATGGAAGATAGGATTTATTATATAAGCCAGGTAGCTCAGAAATAATTTCACAGTTGAGTCCGTGACAGTGAGCCTATATTTTGACTTACTAAACTCACATGCCAACAACATATGTTAATTGTTGAAAAACAGTTTTGTAAATATCTCTTGGAAATATCTCTAGTAATGCCTTGCCAGTCTGACTAAGATATTAAAAACATTCTCTAGTACCCATTGACACTTCTTTTCTATTTCCTTCATCCTTTTTTTTTCCTACCTTCAAACAGTTTAGATTGATTTCTTCTCTCCCGAAGTTAAAAAAAAAAAAAAAAATAGAAAACGGAATAGAGCTGGCAAAAAGCAAAGACTGTCCTGGGGGAAGAAGGATACAAGATAGAGTTGGAACTAAGGACCCAGACTGTAGCTTTATAAGATTCCATCAGAAATCAGTCTGAATCACATAGGTGCATCCATG